TACAGAACTGCAGCTACTAGTACCATAGATTGTTCAACATTTTGACTAGCAAACATCGCATCCTGGGTGAATGACGAGTACAAGATACCGTTTTGACAATACATCTTACTTAAATATGAGTTTATAAGCTTAGTTTTACTTGATCATCAGGTTCCGTCCACCAGAACGCCGTTAATCAAATGACGAACCATACCTACACGGACGAACCAAGCAAGCTTTACGAGTTCGTGTGAGCAGTGAACAAATCCCGCTTAGAACTTGGGACTTTGAACGATAATACTCTGCATGGATTGGTTCCTGAAATTGGCCGTGTACCAGGCACATACTTGAAAAATATAAGCTTGTCAAATTGCCTAGAACGTTGACCCGTTACTTTTTTCTCCTTGTTCAGATATCGCTCTGCACCTGTTGTCCTTCACATTAGAGTTAATATAAATAATGTATTTGCTTTCCACCGTATATGGCTAGTGACGTCATGAATAACCAAATAAGGTCAAAATCAATTATGTAATTTGAAGCTGGCGGTAAGCGGGGACAATACATTGCATTTGGGAAGCTGTGAATCTGTGCGCGAATTATGGAGTGAACAAGCAGTTTGGGCAACAGAGCTTAAATCAGAGGATTTTCAACAAGGATAATTATATACTGAGTGGAGTTTTGTCGTGACGATCGCACTGCCGCTCTTGATGCTGCGTAGCTCCAGAGAAGTGCATGTCTTTCGACCTTTTGATCAACGTAGGCGCTGCGTGAAGGTTTCAATAACAGCAGCCGAGTGGCAGTGAGCTGCGAGGTAAGGTCCCTCTTGTCAAAATTCACGTATCAAACGTACGTGATTACAGCATGTAAATGTAACAGCAAAGTACAATGTGTTTGTGTTTATTCAGTTTACCCGGTGAAATGCCGAATTAACTGTGGACGTTGAACGAAAACGTGGATCATCGCTGCTGTTGTTGTTGCCTTGCTGATATCTGACATGGCTACCTTCTTGTTGTTTTTCACAGTGATATAGCCGAAGTTCAAGGTTTTTCATGCCAACGGATTGACGACTTAAAAAAACACTGCCGTTCTCGGTCCCACCCGAGTGAAGGCGGACAAACATGAAGACTGTGTGGCTACCTTGTGTTATTTTTGCCCAGTTGGGCTTCATTTTGGGTGAGTATATAGCGTGTGTATGACAGAGAAGTTGGTACAAGAAACAATCTTTTGTCAAGACCACGTTTATGCAGTGTCAATTGTGCCATGACCGTTTGTTCAATGGCGTGTTTCCAAGTAATCAGCTCGTTCCCATTAAAATGTGTCCTGAAACATTTACTCGTGTAAGTTTCATCACAAAAAAACCGACAGGCTTGTTTGTTTGTATACGTGCAAGTATCTGCACATTTATTAGCTCTGCTGAAATAGCCGATTTAAACGGATTGTGATGGACAAGAGGTCGCGGTCTCCATTTTGACCTCGATTCACTGTCAACAACATTCGTTGTGGGCCAATGAAGGCTAGTTACTCATTGCATCTTTGTGAACACATTTTTACTGAACACAATTAAATTCACTTCGGTGACTAGATTTTAAAGCACCAAGTCGTAACATAGACGGGAAGAAAATCATCGATTTTGGCCTTGTTTACACAGATGGTTCAACTGTATGAGGAAACTACTTAGTATTTCAAAGAAAAAAACCGTCAACACAGATCTCCACAAAGGACTTAGAAATAGTTGTGAATTTATTAGAGGTACTTTAAAATTCAAAGTGCATTGAGTTTATTTTAGTGCATTAAAATACTAACATTATATAACAAATTAAATTTCAACAGGTAAAAACTTGACTTGATTTTTTTGTGTATGGTATTCATTATCCATTCCAATGGATGTTAAGTGATTAAATAAATAACAACAACCTTTTTTTCAAAGATTTTGCGAAATTGTTTTCTCTTATTGTAGAATTTATTGAAATATAAATCAATCATAAACTTAACTGTTTCTTCACAGTTATTGCTTAATTGTCACCAGGGTTATTTTGTCTGTTATAAAATTACAGTACAAGTGTACACAAGTTATCATACCGATCTTAAACTCAGTTTGGGCAAAAAAATTGTTTTTGATTAGTTTGCCTAAAACTGTCAACCTATCTACTGCTAATATGTCACAAACTAATTTGTCATGTGTCCTGAAAAGGATGCTCTAAAACCGGTAGATTATCTCACAAAAAACAACGAAAAGTACTGTATTTTGACATCACATCCAAGATGGAGACCATCTCACGACAACTGTGAATGTTTTTCGGCTACTCCACACCATTGTCAATGTTGTTCGTTTACCTAGAAGATGAAATCTTTGATAACAATCATATGTTGTACATTGATTGTTATTCATAAAAAATGATGAAATATAATTCATCTCTATTTGAATAGATGAGATGAGTAAATGTGTGAGGTGAGTTAATTAATAAGTCGTCCTGATGGATAATTAATTTTATTGTGAAGTCCTATTCTTAGCTCTGCTGTCGACTTTGTCGAGTGAGCGAAGCTTATCATATGAGTGATTGCCCATCGTCAGTGTCAACTTTTTACAATTTCAACAATTTTTATTGCTTTGATACTTGATGTATATGTACCTTGGGCAAACCTCTCGTAGATTTGTTCATTTGGTGATGATATCTTCAATTTCTAATTTTGTCATTTTTGGTAAAAAGTGACATTTTCGAATTTTTGTTGAAAACAACAAGTCCGATTGCTTTGATACTATTCATATTGTTCATTTTCTAATGATATCTTCTGTTCTTTAATTGCAATATGCATTTCAGCCGACAGGCTGCTTGTTATTCCCACACTATAGCATTTTCCGTCTATCGTTGTTTTATATTTTACCTTTACCATATTGTGTTCTGAATAATCTTTAATTGAATTAAAAAAAATTGGTGACTATCCGGAGTGGCATTAGTTGCACTACAGTATAATACTGTGGGAGAATCTTTTACATTGAACATAATGGTGCCTTGTTTCATGTCATTTAATTTTGTTATTTTGTTGAATTCAGAATGGCGGATGAATGGCCATTTTGTATAACAGATGCTGTAAAAGAGACTAATGCATATGCATGTATTCATTCCGTGACCGATTTTGTGATGCTCATTTTAAAATTTAAAATGTATGAAAATAAAACCAAAATTTACACTTGCATCATATAGCATATCAAGAATGATAAAAATCATTTTTTTTTTATTTTGTCAGATGAGACTGTCATGTCAATGACTGTATAAGCAAATTGCAAGATTGTAACTTTCAAAAAAATGGTTGTTACAAATTATTTTTTGTAATTATTTTCTGTAGTTGTTTTCATGCATAGTTTTCCAAATTATTTTCAAGTTTGCCACTGCATGTTCACACTAAGCATACAACCCCCCCTCCCCGCGTAGTTGTATGCAGTGGAACTATTGTCATATTATATAAATTACATCGCCTTTCTATGCAGAGTTTAACTTGTTAAGCTAGCATCAATCAAACTTGCATTCTTCTTCCATGGATACAACCATCTGGGACATGTTTATGATCTGTGGGTTACCCCATACCAATAAAAAGGCTTGCTCCTTCAACCTTTTTATTTGATAAATTCAGGTGTGCATAATATGGTTGAAACATGGGTCACTTGGAGGGTAATATTTAATTGGAATTTTAAACTATTGTAATAACAAAAAACAACATTACTAACCTTTGATTTTTTTACAATGTTTACTACCCACAATCACTTAGAGTTTTAAAAGTGATGCAATGCTCATGGTGCATATTTTTGCAAAACTATCCAGTGTTAGACATTTTATAGATGATTATGCATTTATGGAAGAGTATGCTATCTACAAAAATATTAGTTTTTATGATAGATAAATGTGCGAAAATGAGAAAAATTATGCATGTTACACTGTTCAGTTAACATTGTATCGATAGTTTTCTACCAAAGATGGTAAAAAAAAGCTTTTCTGTTTTATTCTAGGATTTGTTTTTGTATGACAGAATACTATTCTGTGCTCTACTTCAATTTCAGTTTCATGGTTACATTTTTGTAGTCTGAAAAATTCATAAAAGTTTGTATCAGTTTCAATCGATGACAGCGACTGACACAAAATGACATTAACTATTTTAGAACTAAAACATTGTTTATATAGTTTCCTATGGCCAAAATAAAGCTACAACAATATTTTATCAAATTACATTTTAGATTTTTTTTAACAATATCATATTTTGATTAAAATATGTGCCACGAATTTTCAACTAAATTATCCATGTTTGATACATTGTGGCAATTGAAATGGTAATAAACATGACCAATCAAATTATGAATTCTAATCTACTTTGATATAAACATTTATTGATATCAATTTAATGTTATTACATGATTGATGTACATGCGAAATTAATGATGCAAACAGCAGTTCCTTTAAGCCACAGTGCTGATATAGGAAAACCTAATTTGCATTGTAAAAGCAGCGTATAAATGATCCACCCAAGACCCTGTATGGTAAACAATGATCGCTGATTTTTGCATCAGAAGGAAACAGTTTTGCTAAATTTGCAGTGAATTTACTAAACTTGCTTAAACCCATAGACTCGTCTCTAGGGTGTGCTCTCAGTCCTCCAAGCTCATTGATTTTCTCATGGGGTTCTGCACAGCTGGTTGAATGCTCACAATATTGTTAGCAGTCTTCAAAACAAGAGTTCATTCAGAGTTTAATGTTTATAAAAGCAGGTTATTTACCGCTCTCATTTTACTGGTTTTAGAATGAATGGGGACATTACGAGACATTTATATCAATAATTTACTACCCTGCTTTTATATGTACCTTTATTGCCCCAATAAGTCGCATAAAATCCAAATATTGTGAAATTCTTTCTGCTTTACAAAGCCAAACTCATTATGTACTTAGCCATGACCCACTTCTTAAGACCATCTCTCAATTTTTTTTTCTAGTAGCCATAGGCAACCAAGTTGAAATTGTTTCAAATTTAGTACCAAACTGCAAACTCATTGGTTGCCCAAATTTTTTATATTTTTCAAAATTATGAAACATCAATTCTTATATTCATTTAAGCATGCATGATATAACTGGTGTATAATAATTGTGCTATTTAATCTTGTGTTGATTTATTATCTGCCCAATTCAGTATATTGAATTCTTGTGGTGTTCAAAGCTGTTGCCATCCATGTTTCACCCATCCATTATTGAACTCTCTTGTTTGCATGTGTACTGCAATATATTCATTTATAGTACTTCACACAGCAAGAATGTCCTTGACTAATATACCTTAAACCAGCACTATATAAATTGGAACAAGGTAACAACTATGGCTTTGATTTGGCAGCATAGTGCCAATCAGGCTGCATTTTATTTCTAGATGTGATGTGCCCTGTAACATCCTTGCCTGACATTGATTTATTATCAAGTTGAAGTTCGCTTTCATCCTAACCTAAATATGCAGTCATTGTCATTACATACTAAAAATGAAATATAGTGGATGACGAAATATGCATGTAAAGTAATATAGGTAGAGATGCACTATCAAAAGGTGACAAGCTAGCTGTATGGACTTTTTTATTTTACAGAAAGTTTTGTCACCAGCCATGTTTTTTAGGTTACCTAAATATTTTGTAGTCGTTTTTATTCTCATTATTCATAGTGACCAAAATTACTGTAATTTTACAAAGTAGATGACTGGCGATATATAAATATGACTGTGCAAACTTTTGTTATCTTTTGTTTTAGCATCAACTCTCTCACGTAAACATCTGTGAAACAAAAATTACTAATATGGCTAAATGTACATTAAACATCATTGAACTGCAGGACAAAGTAAAGTGAACATGACGACTAGAATATGCTGTATATAAATTTGTTTCCTCACAAGTCAAGGGATTATTGACTGTATTGTCAGACACAGTACCTGTATTTACCCACAATCCTATGTGGTTTGTTAGTTTGTTTGGTAATTGTCACCATATAATTGCTATTTAATTGTTAGATAACTGAGGAAATCATCAGCATATATAGAAATTATCTTTCGTTAGACTTAATTTGACATTCTGATCACGCATTTCAAAACTTTTGAAAAACAAATACTGTAGACTTTTTATGAATTTAATATAATTCAAAATTCTAAACCAATAAAAAGTTGTCTAATGGTACAAAATCGTAGAGAATTCTGGGTAATTTAGTGCTGTGCTATAGTATGCCCCCATAGCTAGCTTTACCCTGTATTAGAAGCATGACAACAACATTAAGATCAAAGTTCTGCTGCTTTGTGTGCACTATTGATGGAACAGTGTAAATGCAGAGTACAAATTATTGCTACTATTTTTGATCAAGTCCTACTACATGGAAGTACTCCAATGGTGTATATCCTGTTACTATGTATATAACTTCCTGTTGACAAAGATAAAAATATTGAATATTCTTTTGTCTATTGGTCTATTATTTATAAAAGTTGGTTATTATCACTCTCATTTAGTGGTTTCAGAGAATGCAGTAATTAGGAAACATTTATGTGAATAGATAATAATTAATAAGTAAATATTGAACATTTAATTGTCCAAGGAGTAAGTAATGCAATTTAACAGTACTACTGCATCATGGAAGTACATGCTATGGAGTGCCTCAGTGCATCATGGGAGTGCCTCAGTGCATCATGGGAGTGCATCAGTGCATCATGGGAGTACCACAGTGCATCATGGGAGTACCACAGTGCATCATGGGAATACCACATTCCAACATGGGATTACCACAGTGCATCATGGGATTACAAGTGCAACCTCTGTATGTAAAAAAAAAAAATCAAAATGTGAGAAAATCTGCTCAGTTCTAATTACAAAATTGACTTCATGACTAATAAATCAAGATATAAAATCTGTGATCATAGCAAGACAATTATTGCCAATAGGACTAGTGTGACTTTTCCCAGACAGTCAGTCTGTTTCATTTTTTTGTTAGCACTCTACAATTTCAGAGGTCATTGCAAACTTGACTGTAGACAGCGATACAAGTGCAGTTTAATGCATCACTACAGCCAGTTAAACAAACAACCAAGTATTCAACCACAAAAACCCTGTGACTGGTATTGTTAAAAAACATCTAAAATGTCATTTGATAAAATATTGTTTTAGCTTTATTTTTGACATAGCTCGGAACAACTTGTACCCTGCTTAAGCAGTATTTGATATCACTTTACATGAACCCCCCTCCCTCCTCACAGCAGTCCCCCTTACTACTTCATGAATGTCCATGATATAGTGATATATCATCCCAAGCACAGGTCTTGCATGTCTGGAATTGAAAACAAAATGATGAGTTTTAATATGTAGCTCCCTGGGAGACATTTTAGCTGAGCTTAGCGTCTACATACAATTGTGCATAAATTACCATGGCGGAATATAAATCTATTGTTGATAGTAGCGTTAACATCTGGGTCACTATAACCCAGTTATTGATAATCGTCTTAAATAGCAGTGTTCACAGGTTTTGTTCATCATGAAAGCCAACAAAAGTTTACTTTGGTGCTCTAGATAGTAAAGTAAAAGTTTGCAACTAGGGTGACACAAAATAAAGATCTTGCTAATCTTGGGAGGCATGGCTTGAGTTTATGCTTTCGTATATAGAATCACACGGTAGATATTCTTGATTATTTGGCTTATCTTATTGGCTTGAATATTCTATAGTTAACACTCGGCTTTCAAGCCAATTCTGCACAACTGTTGGTCATAACAAGTTGAATTTGCCCAGGAATTTAAAATCCATAACTTAAGTATACAAACTTAGATGTAATGATTTCAACAGAATGTTCATGCATGGTTTTGCACATGAACACCTCGACATTTGACTTCATAGCCAACATTTGAAACCATAGCAAACATTTGACACCAAGAACTTTAAGTACTGTAAAATCTCTATTGATTCACGATGTGGCCACCCAGTTGACTATTCATTAAATGTATTATTTCAATTTCTGATGTGATTTCTATACTTTTCATTTGCCCGCAAACTTTTTATTTTTAATTTGACACAAAAATCCTTTATATCATGAGAATAAAGAGACAACTAAAACATCACGTTTATTAAAAATCATAATGTACTTCTTCAGGGCCGCAACAAGTCGCACCAGTGGCCGCAACACATCGCACCAGTGGCCGCAACACATCGTACCAGTGGCGCAACACATCGTACCAGTGACGATTTCAACAAAATTACAACCATGTGGCATGATAAAAAGTTCATATAGATTGTAACATTTTCTCAATAAATGGAATTCACTTTTTTAATTGGCCAACTGCTTTTTCCCTTTGTCATAATTCCTTATGTACAGTTTGTTGTACAGTCACTTAATGTTGAATATCTGATTGCATCTAAATTATTGTAACAAAAAACCTGTATTATAACAAGAGTACATATTTTTTTGAACGTCTGTCTTGGATGTAACATGGATGTCACATCTTGAATAATTTGTATATTTCATTATCTGTTTAGCTCCGCTGTCGACTTTGTCGAGCGGAGCTTATCATACGAGTGATTGTCCGTCGTGGTCCGTGTCAATGTTTTACATTTTCGACTTCTTCTTGAAAACTACAAGTCTGAATGCTTTGATACTTGGTGTATATGTACCTTGGGTAGACCTCTCTCAGATTTGTTCATTTCATGATGATATCTTCAATTCTCTAATTTTGGTGAATATTTTTGTAATTTTTGGTAAAAAGTGATACTTTCGACTTCTTGTTAAAAACCACAAGTCCAATTGCTTTGATATTACATATATAGATACTACATATGGACCACTCTCAAATTTGTTCATTTCATGATGATATCTTCAATTCTCTAATTTTCATGAATATTTTTGTCATTTTTGGTAAAAAGTGATATTTTCTTCTTGTTAAAAACCACAATAATTTATGGTCAAAAATGATATTTTTGAATTCTTGTTGAAAACAGCAAGTCCCATTGCATTGATACTATGCATATTGTTCATTTTCTAATGATATCTTCTGTTCTTTAATCGAAATGTGCATTGCTACCAGCGGAGCTATCTCAGCCGAGAGGCTGCTTGTTTTATTAGTCTAATGATCAAAACTATTCTTTTATTTCGTGCACAAGAGAAAACATTACCTATTTGTAAATATTAATTTGCGCTCCAAACAAACTCCAAAAGTAGCATTCTTATAAACAATATTTTTTTCATATTTGTTTCAGGTTCTTTGGCAACGCGGACATGTACTCCAACGTCACCATTTGAATCTCAGTACTTGACACCAATGTGTAGACAATATTTGGTAGGTAGTGGATGTTATAGTAGTTCAGTTACAACATTGCAACAGGAAGTTCACACTATTCACGTGAAGAATGAGGACAATTTACAAAGGGCTGAAATAAGTCTTCAAATTCGGCCGGCGGCCGATACTGGAGTTTATGACAAACAATTAGTTTTTGTGTTGAGTTCCGAAATACCAGTGGAATGGAAAGTGGAATTGCTGCGATTGTCGCTGGACTTCGAAATCATATTTCATGTGAGTAGCCATTATTCTATGTATTCTAGTGAAGTGCAATATATATTTGACACAGCCTGAAAGAAGATGAAATGACTGTCAACTACTTTTTCACTTGAAATTTATTTTCCCTATTCTTGCTAAAGAGGTAAATCAGTGAAAATAAAATCCAGTGGAAATACCCGTTTTCCTATATTTTACATTAGACTTGTGCAAATAAACTCGATGAAAATGTCTTTTCAGTGAATATTAATTTCAGCTAAAATATTTTATTGTATGCGATCTGGACTTTATTTCTGACATTGATTAAAACACAGTAATATACTGACTTGCTCTAAGAATATTTAAATATTATATAAATTCTCAAATTGTTTTCACTGGAACTGCTGAACTTGTTATCAACAGGCTGAACCAATCCAAAACCCTTGGATTCAAATGTTTGTTTGAGTGCGGTACAAAATTATGATTTTGTTTGTGGTCTGGTCGAGCCAATCATGCAAAGTTAGAGTGTAGTTGCATATATTCATGTAATGAGAATATTACGAGGCTATCGCAAAAATGTTGTAAAATATGTGTGAATGCAGTATGATGAATGTGTATGTATGTATTGACCAGATCTATGTGATCCTGTAACTACCTGATTGTATACTTTTCAGTATTCTCATAATTATACATTGTACATATACTTGTGTACATATAATGTTGTCATTATTTACTAAAAATATAAAACTAAAATGCCAGCAAAAAAAAATTGTCTGGTATTTAAATATTTAAAAATATATACAATAAGAAATAAAAAATTGCTATAAAATCTCAAAATAGAACCATTTCATTTTATGTATTATATTTTGGAATATATGTGGAGTGGTACTTTATGATTTACAAATACAGATCATAAAAATATGGAGATCTGGGAACTATTTCTTTTCTTTTTTATTGTCATCAAATATGATTATTGTGTTAAAATAAATTATTACATCTTGTGTGTGCAAGGAAGGTAATGAGGTCTGTGTGTCTGTCTGTAAGAAAAATCTCAAACCTTGGTAGATTTATTACATACATACCATCTTGTTTCAGCCTGTTTAAGCAAAATTTTAAAAACGTCTGATCAAATTTTGATGCACATGCGTATTGTGCATACATGACTTTTAAGGCCATGTCCTTGCATATTAATTAGGCAATTTGCATATTGTCTCATTCAGTTGGTGTGAGGTAAACCTCAAACTTCAGAACGGATTTTGATTAAATTTGATGAACATCTGCTGCTCTAATGCTCATTTACTGATTTAAATATTCATTTCTGAGATAGGTTTTTATAAAACAATAATTGCATATTTTGTATTTACACACAAGCTTGCAGAGTTAAACTTTGATCAGTGTTGGCTTGTATAACTGAAGAATGACCTCCACTCATGAAATTTATGTCTTTTAATGATACATACTGGTAGAGAACTTGTTTCAACATCATTGTAAACAGCGATACATGGGTATACAGATTATATACTAATCCTGGATTTGCTAGGACAATGTTTTGTTATATTCTTCGTGTAATTATGCTGAACGTCTGTATTGAAAGCCCAGCTGCTGCTTGGAGCCAGGTCTCTTTTCACATGAAATCAACATCCCGTGAAATTGTTAGTTTCTATAGTTACCAACCCAATCTTTTTGTTCACTTAAGTCTTCAATTGATAACAATTTTTTAGTGTTGCCAAAAATATTAATTCGTCATCATGAGTTTTTCAGAGAATTGTGCAAAAATTCTTTTGAGCAAAACCTGCATCTCTTGTCCCTAAAAAATGAAATATAATAATTTTACTTAATAGATATTTAATTAATGGTCTATGATTCCATGCGCTTTTGATGTTGCATTCAATGAGGTGTTTATACATACACTGGAAGTTTAAATGTGGTAAACTGTTTAATATTTACTGCTTGGAAGTTTTCAGAATTTTATGGTGTTTGTGAAGTCAAAGTTTTGTGAAAGTCATTGACTCTCAATGTTGTAGGACCCATTGACATTTTTAGTGCTACAAAATTCTGCAATTTTCATTGACGCTGAATTACACGTTGTGCTTCACGCCTAGGTTTTATCTACCAGCACAGAAGATTCAGTGTTTATTGGCAGTTCTTGTTCTAAATTTAAAAGAATTAAACACTCGTTATTTAAGTATGATGGTCGTACTGTATAGTGAAGATTTACTGTAAAATACTTTATTTTAGCTGGAATTGATTTTCGCTGAAAAGACTTTTTGGGTGTTTTTATATGGAATTGATTTTCACCGATTTCTGGCGAGTTGAAAGTAAAAATTGATTCCAAATGAAAATAAAGTATTTTACAGTAAATTGCATGCTGAATTGCTAAATATAAATACTTGAAAATAAATCTCTGACAAGGACCTCACATTTTTAATCACTTTAATACCCATTTTACGTATTCTACCCTGTCAACGTAACTACAGTCTTTGGTAGTCTACCGACAGTTTTTAATACTGTCATTTCACACTACTTTGTACTCTATCTCGTCAACAAAACTACTGATATAAGCCTGCCATTCAAGTCAGCTGATATTAGACCTAACCTACCTTTCCGCTCAGTCCTCTAATCAAAAGTGACCTCTACCAACACTTCCTGGAGTAGTGCAATCTCTAATAAATTTCTTGTTAATTAATTAATTGCTCTCATCCCTTTGAAATCCTAGTTTTTGTTTATTTTGGCAATCTGAGAAATGTATCGTCTGATTTGCATATTTATGAAATGCAAGTGTTTTTAGTAAAATAATATTAAATTTAGTTTCTGCTCTTGAAAATCACTTCTTGGTTGTCATGGAGATGTATTCTCTTGATTAATTGTAAAACCAAGAGATGTAAATGGTCAGAATTCCAAATTCTTTTCTCTTTTCGGGAAAAAATGTTCTGAAATAATGAGGGTGCATTTAGTCTAATTATGCAGAATATCAATTTTGCACATATTATAATCAATTAGTTTCATAATTTGCATAATGTCAAGTAAAAGCCAATCAGGATACACCTGTTTCTAACAAATGGTATTTTGTTGCAGAGTCTCATCATCATCTTGGCAAAAAGCCACTTGCGAGTCAATCAACCATATGGCTTTGGTTCTGCTTTTTAAAATGATGCAATATCCATCTGAGAAGGTGATACTGGGTAAATGTTAGCTCACAAAAGACTGCTCCTCATTGGCTTGTAGTGCTGGCACCTAATAGTCGCAGCCAATCAAAATTGTCCTTGTTAGGTCTGAGTATCAAAGGGCTGGTTTCCAAATTTGCCACCATTGGGTAAACAAAAGGTCGATGTTAGATCATCTTGTGTAAATGGTTAGTATTAGATATTGTAATTTGTTACCATAGAAACAATCAAAATATCAATATAGCCTGTTCAGGCATAACATTTCATTAGCCAAGTGAAACCATAAAAAGGCCTTGGATGCTAAAATGTGTACATGATGAGTGTCAAAATTAACAATTTAGAACAAAGTCAAGAAATTCCCTCCCACTATTGGTATATTGTCCGTCATTATACTTGTTCAAAGGTCATGGGTTATCAGAATGTTTTGTTTTCTCATGCATTCCATGCTTCACATAACAATGTGTGTAAAATATATTCAATGGCTCTGTTGCAACCACAGTAGAAATAATGAGATAAAGTTGCAATATCACTAAGAATTATTTTAACTTTGTTGGTCATGAATGTCATTGTAACAACTCACTAACATTTTTACTTGTACAAATTTTCTTCAATTTAAAAATTTGGTGTGTATAATTAAGTATTTTATTTTTAGAAAAATTCTATGCGTGTGTGGCAATAACATTTCATGAAAACAGGTATATAAATATGAAATGAAAAATGAAATATAGTTTATGTTTTGTTCATTGAAAGCAGAATAAAGTTATATAGCTGACTTTTATGATAATTATAATTAAAGTGCATATCAAGTATCAGAAATATTATTACATTCCACAATTATGTTAATTTATTTTTTGCAAGATTAACTTTTTTTTTCATTTTTTTATTTTATTAATATAATTTAATCCCTTAATATCCATTGGAAAGGACAATGCACATTTATACTAAATTATTTTATATCATATTTACTCAAGGCTGAAATGTGTTGTATTGGAATGCTCTTCTAATAGATAAAATACAGTATTTGTAATGATTAGTGAAATCTTTTTTTTAATTTACTTATTAACACAACATTGACAATAAACAATAAAAAACAATAAAATAGATTGGAATGTATTGCTGTTCTTCTACTTTTTAAAAAAAAGAATCCCTAATGTGTTCCAATTCACCCATAATATAGCCCACCAGTATCTGTGCAATGATCTGTTTTCTCCTATGTTGGCAAAGATCCATTTGCTCCTGAACTTTGACCTAAGATTGTGCTGCCTATCATGTTGGCAATGATCCATTTGCTTGTGAACTTTGACCTATGAGGTAGATTCTTGTTGATAGAAACCAGTAACTATGTCAAGGACACAGATATGTCACTACCCTTTGAAGCGAAATAATCTGAATTTAACCACTATAGTGGGAGTGTATTGATTATTCATCCAGGGTAATATACGTTGCCTTATCGATTGCAGTGAGAGTAGTGCAGGGGTTAATTCCCACCTGCCACAGATTGTATATTTTCATTTTTTGTTTATACATTCTTCTCAATTGTATTTATTTTGTTATTTCATTCAATGCAAGCATGATCATTTATAACAATCCCCTGAAAACTGACAATTTACTGTTACATTTTGTGATAATTTTGTATCCTTAATTATCTGAGGCTTTTAAACAGTGTAAATGTTTGAGTCTTTTCCAGAATTAATAAAATTAAAAATGGGTGGGTGGGGGGGGGGGGGGTTATATTGCAAATGTAGATCTGACTCTGGAGGGTCCCCTAGACAGAAAGTAATCCTAATATTCGTCATGTCAGGAACATGCAATTCATGGTACTTCAGAGAAAATACATGATGTTGTAAACAATTTAAATTTGTGAGGTAAATTGTC